ATAGTGAAAAACAGCCCGGGCAACGACACAGACAAATACAACTTGGGAATTACAAGACCCACACAACATGCACTTCGCGGATTGATCCTGGCATCCTGGTGTCCGGCTATCGTCATATTCCATTAGACGCCATTAGACTCTCACTCAATCCGACCAGGTTTTGGCTTCACAGCGTACTCCGTTGTGGGCGTGTCTTTAGATGTCACAAGCTACTTTTATTATAGGCAATATGTTAAGGTTGTTTTTCGCACCGATGACACTTTGATGAGTGCCACGAGATAGGCCCAGGAAGTTTTTCACGCGCCCTTGTTTTCAGTTGTTTATTAAACACAAACAACAACAACAAGCACAGACGACTACAACAAATAAGCCTGTATACTATATATATGATATACATATATATATATATATATCTATGCATATATATTATATGTAAGGCATGAGTAAGATTCGTTGATGCTGCTGCTGCTACTGCTGGTCAATGACTGCAAGGCCAGAATTCACTTGCTCGGTCGAAATTCATGAATGAACATTCAGAGCAATCGAGCATGCCAAGTGAGTGGAAGCCGGTGTCTAGGCACGTATGCGTTCCGCCGGGGAGCTGAAATGTTCGGGTAGATACGCGCGCCAAGTACGTTATGCAAGCTAAACTGATCTCGGAACGGAAAATTGAACAGTTATTAATTACACTTCCTCATTTGTGTCAAATATAAAGTATATATTTGATTATTGGTTTTATCAGGAAATGAACCACCTTTGCAACTCTGACAGCCAGCTCAAATCTAGTCAAGAGTTACAATATAGAAGTATGAAAGATATCATTCAACAACTCTCCATGTCCCGTCCTTGAACGAAATACTTGGAAATGAAACTAATAAACTTTTAATTTCAACTTGTGGCTGTAAACCTAAGAATCAAATGTTGCTGGTTCGGTTCACGGTTCGTGAACTTGGTTTTTCACATTCATGATAACAGGTTAAGGTTCAAAGCTTGGCTACTTAAAATATATAAACAGGAAATTGGGAACCAAGTTTTTTATACTTTAAAGCTGGCTCTGGCTTCCGGGCTCGAACCAGCTAGGCGCGCAAGCTATTGGTAGTCCTAGGTCCCATTCGCTTTGTATAAAAAATCCAAGAGACTAAGGAAGATTCAAGCCATGGAGGGAATTCTGTTCAAGGAAATCATAAGGTTTTGGGATCTTCTGAAACTAGACAGCGTAGTGGAGACTTCGGCCGGATGACTACTGGAAGCTCCGACAGCAGCATTTCTTCTGGCTATAAAAAGAACACGAAAATCTCTGGGAAGAACTAGATGAACCAGAATTTCTTGCATCTGTCGCATTGCCTTGCAAGTGCATTGTTATGTCTGGCATGCAGTTGCAGTCCGACACAGTGTTTATCCCGGTTGACCTACAGCACTTGCACTTGAACCTGCTTAGATACACATACATGCGTTCTAACTGATTCATGAGTGCAAGCTACAGATACATTCGTAGGACAGATATGCCTATGTAAACACAGACGAGAGTCATATTTATGGCTCATTATTTCGTTAGACTCTTGTTGGCCAAATAAATAGCGACCACAATTTCACGATGAGTCAGCGCATCTGCTCAAATATCCGAGTTTGTTCTCGTATTCGCCCATGCGCGATGACTTTCGCAGGCGCCGGGCTGGATATCCAACACGCAGTTTCGCACCCAAAATGTTAAGTATACGCCAAGTGCAACCGCCAAGCAAACAGAGAATCTGAGGATTGTCCGGCCGCTAAACAAGCGGAGCAATCACATAAATCAATATCTGAAGCTGAACGGGCTGTTATTGTTGTTTTTGCTGATGATGCGAGTCAACAATCTTCTCAGGGCAGACCGTTAACCGGCTCGTTAGGGTGCAGGAGTCGCAGTCGCAGTCACAGTCGCAGTCGCAGTTGCAGTCACAGTCGCAGTCACAGTCAGTGGCATTGGCTTATCAGTCAAAAAGAGTGTGGCCCCGCCCGTGCTGGCCCGCCTAATGTAACTGTTATTGACAGCGCATAAATATTTGCATTTGTCATCTGAGCGCAAGATATTGTATCTGTATCTTAAATATTGTATCTGTGGCTACATGCCCGTATCTGCACCCACTTTCCCAAGCAAATATTAGCTTTGTACATTGCAATAACTGTTATTAATGAGCTGCTGCTGCTGCTGCCTCAACTTCTGCGGATTCTTATCGCTGGCAAAAGCGAATTAATTACGAAGCGAAAATATACTTTGAAAATCACGCGCTCCCCGCTGAGACGTGCAATTTGTTGTATGTTGTCTCTTGCTGGCCGGCGGCCACATGGTCGATGCTCTATACACAACTTAATGAATCAAACGTCATCATCATCATCGCCATGATCATCATCATCAGTGTCAGCGGTTTTTGTGTTGACCTCCAACAACAACAGCTGCATGAAAAAGAATACGAAGCGCAGCCCGCTCTGAGAATCCAATACCAATACAACAGCTGACTTCAGATGCTCTCCCCACCAAGTTGCCCGCTGCCACTTTGCTGGGCCTAAAACCTACTAGTACAAGTAACTAGTTGGTAATTGATGTCATTGATCTCATTGAGCTCATCTGGTCAGAGACAGCTCAAAGATGAGTCGATTGCCGGATTCAATCTGGTTTTTTTTTTTTATCAAGCATGTTGATATTGCAAGTATTCTGGTTTATCTTAATATATAGTATATGTGATATATAGTATATGTGATCCTACTTATTTTCACATAATTATGCCACACTTTTAAATATCTTATAAAAATTAGAATATTGTGCTACGCAAATATAATAACATCACACTATTATCTTCTTCTGTCTGTTAAATTGATTTGCACGAATCCAATATACCCTATTTGCGACCTATTTACATCTACAGGGTATACAAAGCTCCCCTGCAAAGGTATGTAAATCGCTGAATTATTTGAAAACAAAATAAAACCTTTCCAGTTTATTCGCCGTATCATTCACTAATTGCTTTTTAATTATGAAAATACATTATTGCAAAGTCTTCTCTGAGCGGGTCACGGGTCAGTTATGGATCGGAACAGATCTTCCGGCGATCTTTGAGGAGCACACAATAATTATAACAACATTGAGTGAGAGCTCTCTTATTGGGAGTGCCCGACTAGGGGTTACCCTTTAGCTGTACCGAGCTGCTTTTACCCAAAATGTGAACTTTCTTTATATTTATATCCACTTACAGCCGCACACTTTTGGCAGCGGCTGTTATCCTGCTTCCCTCAGAGTCACACTGCAAAAAATACATCCTCAAATTACTTCGGTGCTTAGAGTCCGATCCTTGTGAAATGTTTAGAGTGTGTACAAACCAAAGCCCAAGGCTATGGAGGTACATAACTAAAAAGTGAAATATTCAGGACCTATGTGCGCCAGACGAGAGCAAACATACCAAGTTTAGTTCAAGTAGGAGTTCCCTAATTTGAAGACCTACATTCCAATATGGATGAATCTAGCTTTTGCGACGGATTGGCTCGGTCGGTCTATAACACCCTACTCTTGTGTAAGGGGTACAGGGTATTCAAGCGTGAGCAGCTTGCTGAATTCAACTGCAGTGTCTGCAGATCGAACTGTGAGTCTTGTGGGCAGTGCGAACCGGTTAGCCCAAGGGAACGAGCCAAAATGAGAGCCATGCATTACGAACTTGGCAATTATCATTTGGCACTATGGGGATAACACTCACAAGAGCTACAGACAATGTGCTATTGTTGTTGTTGTTGTTGTTGCTGCTGCTGCTGAAGTCGTCTCATATTGCGCATACGCAGCGTTGCCGCTCGCCATTCGCCGTTCGCCGTTGACAAATTCTCAGCAGCTTGCAGTTTGTGATTTACAATTTGCCATTTGCTGCTCTTGCTTCGTTTTTCCGCTTTCCTGTGCACTTTTCCAGTTATACTTCAACATTTGCCCGGTGAGGTTCGCTTCGTGACGGTTTCAGCTCGCAAAATTCGCTTCAGTTTCGGTTTCAATTTAGAGTCGTCGATCGTTGTTGTTGTTGTCGTTGTCGTTGTTGTCGTTGTTGTCGTTGTTGTCGTTGTTGTCGTTGTTGTTGTTGTTGCTGTTGAGAACTAAATGCTGGCCCCCAAAGTGTTAATTGGCAGGTGTCGAGCTGCCCCTTGGTACTTGGCAGCCGGCAACTCGCCGGCCAATTTGTTTATGTGTCTATTTATAAATACATATATATATATACATATATAAAATAATAAAAACAATAGAATTAATTGAAATTATCGCTCAATGTGCCAATAAAAACAAGCAACAACAAAACAAAAACAACCGCGTCCCGCTCCACGCTCCCCTCTTCCCTTGCCCAGCCTTTGGCGCCATTGTCGTTGCGGCTTATCAGCTGCCTCTCAAGTACACTCGAAATTCTCGTGATGCACACACGCAAATTGGCCCCCTCTACCCCCCCTAGAACTCCCTCCTCGCCAGCGGCAAGCTGTTCTCTCTTGAGCGTTACGAACGCCCAGCATCAATGCATATTGATAAATGGCAATTGTGCAGCTGTTTCGGCCGTTGCAGCTGCACATCTGCACATTGAGTATACGCCGCATTGGCCGGCCTCCGTCGTTGAATGCGATCAAGTCTCTGTATGAATTTGCACATATATATATATATATATATATATAAATATATATATGTATAATGTTTATTAATTGAAATGAAAATTATTTCGTTGAGCTTCTAATCAAATAAATGCGTCCTGCCATCAAGAGTAGCAGCTGTACAAAGTTAATATGAAGACCATAGCAACAAATATTATAAAATACGTTTCCCCATGAAATAGACCGCTTTCAATGGAACAGACAAAATGCCCTTGCACCCTTCAATGTGCCTTAGAAGTACTTTAAAGCCAACGCTTCCATTGCAGCCAGGTCTGATGCATTGGTCAAGATATCTCGAGCTTAAAATGTAATCGACAACTAATATGGCATATTTTATACTTTTATAAAGCAGATTCTTAGTTAAACACAATTACCTTGTTGCCCGACTAAAAGCCCTTCTGTCAGGCCTGGGGAAAAGCATGTATCGATATGAGTGAGTTGCAAGTAGAACAAACAATATGCACGTATGCAAATGAGCACAGCGCAAGACGTAAAAGCAGAGTTTTCAATTATTGAATATACTGAGAAAGAAAAGTGCAAAATAAAACCGATGACAGCAGCAGTAATAGACGACTTTAAATGAATTTCACTATAATTGATTGTGGCCTTCCAATGAATTTCTATTTGAAGCGAGGTCGCTTCAGTTTCCCAACATTCGTCATCCCAACTACTACGTAACTCGGCATCTACTCAATGAATGCATCCTATATAGAAATCAGATCCAACTGGGAATTGGTGTTCCAATTCTCATTAACTCAACTCTCTTGGAACTGCGCGTTTCATATAAGAATCGTTTTAGAATTGGCGACTCTTTGGCTGGACCTTCACCCAGCTGCAACTCAGCACACTTTTCAATTTTGGTCAATTTTTCGATAGGTAACCAATAATTGTATGTGAACAGTTTGAAGCTGATAAGCAGCGCTACAAAAAAAGAAACCCAACTTAGACAATTAATTGTCTCTGCTAGCAAATGCTCTCGGATACTTTACATATTGAATTCATTGACCAACATGCTAATAAAACAATCATAAAATACCCAATTGATATCAATAAAACGCAAGCGTTCAAGTAGCCAAAAGGCAAATCGAAATCGAAATCGAAAACGGACCAAAATGCGCGCCGTCTACGACTTATTGCTGAGCAACGCCTTTGATCCCAGGTATGCACAAAAGATACAAGATGCAGCAGTCCAGGTACAAATAGCTGCCATGTACATCTATATGAAGCAGGGCCTACAAGCTAAGAAAAAGAAAGTTGGTGGTACGGCTCCTGATTCGAGCCAACTGCAACCTGCTTTCAACATTGCTTTGATTTAAGACAAATGTTAACACATTTTTCATTTATAAATACCCTCGCCCATTGACATGAGTAAAACGGGTATAATGTTTGTTTTGCTAATGTACGCAACGAGCTGGAACAAGCATATCCGATCAAGACGGCGATCTAAGTCGATCTATCTATGTCAGTCTGTGAACACCCCAACCTCATACTCTAGAACAGCTGCAGACTCCCATTTTTTTATAATATCGATTTTAAGACAGAGCTTGAGCTAGATACACCAAACATACCTATATACTTCCCAGTTTTCCCCAAATTTGAGAAAACTCACACTGCAACTTTACACTTTTGTATGCGAAACTTAAGACCTGCTAAGATCGGACCTCAAACGCCGATGGCATTTCGCATGCATGTGCAGCTTGTGGTATATGTACGAATAGAAGGAAACTGGAATGCTTATAGGGGGTATTAACTAATCGGTTACTCCCGACTAAAGCCCTGTTGTTTTTTATAGTTGCTTGTATCTATACGATACCATAGTATCCTGACAAACTTATATACCATATCATAATTAATCCTAACTTAAAGTTAGCAGATCTATTAAAATTGCATGCTTTTCAAATGATACTCATTCATGTTCTCTCTCTCTCTCTCTCTCCCTCTCTCTCTCTTTGATTAACAGCATGGTGCTACAGAACCACAACACCGTGGTGGCCCGCTCCACGCTGACGCCGAACAGCAGCAACCAGAACTTCGGCTCTCATTCGCAGCATGGCGGGCAGACGGTGGGCGGAGGACGTAGCCCTGTCAATGTGGGGCCAGGTAACCAGCGTCCGATTGTGGATCTGCTTGTGGCCATGGTGGCGGTGCCGGTTCTGATACTGTGCGCCCTGCAGCTGGAGAAGAATCTGCATGACATGCACGACAGCCCCGAGTCTCGCTGGCTGGTCTTTGCCCTCGGGATCGGCATGCTGGTCATTAGTGTGATCATATGCGGCTATGTGACACATCGCATGGGCGTCTGCATTTGGGCCGGGCCCATCGACGAGGCGGGCAATCGTGCCGGCAATGGCGCACTGCATCACGTAAGTGTTTATAGCTATTAGGTGACATGATGCGACACTTGTATACTCACCATGGCAAGATCATTGCCGTCTTGCAGATCAACTCCCAGAATGATGTGCTACGCATTGTGGACTCCTTGCCGCCGAGCTATGACAGTGTGGTGAAGTGTGATCTGCCCCCGCCGCCCTACGACTGTGTGGTGATCGATGTGGAGCAGCACAAGGACATGCAGCCGCAGACATCCGCCAAGGATGAGCGCCTCTCTCAGGCGGCAGCCGGTGCCATTTCTGTTGCCATGCCAGGTGCAACGCTGCACATCTGAACGGATTGGTGGAGGGGTGCACCGTGGTGGACGGGGAGGGGAAAGGGAGAGCTGATGCGACCACAAAAGAAGAATAAGAGGAGAGAGAAACAAAGAGATTTTTCGCTTGTGGCATTGAAATTGACTAGAAATGGAATTTGTACTTCAACTACACTACGCTGACGCCATCTATCGGTGGCCTCTGGCTATTGGCTAACCAAATGGCGTTGTATTTACTTCGATTTAAGATCTTAGAGTATTGTATATCCGTGTACATATATGTACTTTATTTTTTTTTTTTTACTTGGTCTATGCAGCATTGTAAATATTCCTAAACAGCATCTAGTCCAAAGTTGTACATAACCTAAAACACAAAAGAAAGAAAAAGAAAACAAGAACTAGGGATCTAGAGAAATGCGAAATACATTTTGTATTTACTAGTTATTTAAATGCCAAGATTGTAATAGGAGGAAGGGGGCGACAGATGGCAGGGGGGTTGCATAGCAGTTATCAATTACCACATAGTCTGTAGTTTTATAATTTATATACTTAAAAACATACTAAATATATACAATTACCTATACATATGAATACGTGTGTGCCTATCGAGAATTTGTACGCATTACTTATTGAAAAAGTTTACTTTTTAGCTGATTTCCAAAATAAAGAATTCCTATTAATGTTAACTGCAAGACTCAATCCTTTCCATTAACTCGCATTCAACACTTTTCAGAATATCCACCACTTCTTGGTGGAAAATAGGAGTCAGAGGTTGTATAAGCGAAAGTATTTCAACAAAATGTAATGTAAAGCTGGCAGGCTCGAAAAGCAAGATGTCTGTTTAAATAACCCCTATCTTCTATCATTAGCTACCTTTGCCAAGCCTTTATTCTCCGGCTTGAAGCCATAACTCATAACTCACTGAGAATTATAAGCAATGAAAAACGGCAAAGCCAGTAAACAGAAGTCCTTTTGTAACTTAACCCTTGCGGCATAATCTTTTCATTACTGATTGGTATGACCAACATTGACCTCGAGACAGCAGCAAACAAGTTTTAAGTAAATATTAAATTTGCTTACAGCAAAGCTAGATAATGCCTGCTACCACTAACCATACAACATATAGACTGGACAACTAGAGTAAACGAATGGGACCACGAATTTTATACACGGCTGGTCCAAAGTCGCCTTCGTTTTTGTTCGGGTTCGAGACACGCCCGAGACACGTAAGAAATACATATGACTTGTGTGGTAGAACGTCATCGCCGTCTTTTTATCTCGCTCACACTACAGGAAACTGCTTTGGCTTACTCTCTCATTCTCCTTTTCCCGAATCGCCAAGATAAGAGGTTCATAGCAGTCCATCTACTTGAAAATACATATTTGGGATGGGTTCAAGAAATCTTCGATTTTCAATAGATACAACAGATTCCGATGATTGATCCAACATATGCCGCCATCAACTTCAATAATGTTAAATATGTTTCAGGATTCCATCTTGGTTGTCGTGGACAAGGCAAAGATCTCGATATCACTAAAATTTTGCAAACTGCATTTATTTGTTGTTGGTTGTTGTAGATGTTTTTACTCACAATCAAATTTTGAATTCCTGTTTTTTTTTTTTTGTGTTTTACAATAATTCACGTTCTTTGTTGTTGTACAATACATAAAAAGAAATGTGTGTGTGTGTGTGTGTTTGCGTGACGAGGTTTTCGTATATATTATATATAGACAAATATATATATAGGTGTAAGTATATTGATAAAGTAAACATGACTCGACTATTTTAGTGTGCCTGCCGCTGCTTCTGCTGCTGCTGCTAATGTTGTTCATTAGTTGTTGTTGTTGTTGTTGTTGCAGTCACAGTTGCCGTTGTTTATGTCTTTGTTGCCGCCGCCGCCACCATCGCTACTTAACCGACGCCTAACGCTGAGTCTGGCGATCTCACTGATATATACATGTATAAATATATATATATATATATAAATGTGTGTGTATATGTACGTGCCGGACTGCGTGTGTGTGTGTGTGTTTGGAATACAAAATGTATGTAAGGAAGGACATAGTGTTTTTGGGGGTTGGGGGTTGGTGGTTGGGGAGGAGGAAGGCAGCCTGCAAATTGCGAAAACTAAGCGGACGATCAATAACTATTGCAACTAGCCCGCACAAGATCCTCATATGCATATGCATATATATAAGTATTTATACATATTTATATACATATATATATTTTTATATCTATCTGGAGCTAACTGATTTTAGAAACCATCCAATTAACTGAAAGCACTTCCATCTCGTGCGCTCAAGAAATTAACATTGAATAGAGTGTGCCCTAAGCGGGGCCTGTTGATTATATAGATTATAGATTACAGTTTAGAGTTTACATTTTTTTTTTTTTTTTTTTTTGTTTGAGATTACAAATGACATTTCTATATACAAGAATCAAGAATCCGTTGGCGCTTAAAAAAAAAAAAAAAAAAAAAACTACAAAGGAACGCAATGAACAACGAGCAAACGAAGAAGCAACAACATGCGTCTATTTTTTGAGGAAGCTGGTTTTAAATTATTCGTATTGTTTTCTCGGGGACGGTGGATCTGATTTTATTTCTTTTTATTCATATTTTTTTATATATAGTTGCTGCCCGTCTGTCTGTTGGCAGGCTTTGTAACTACACAGTTTTTAATATAATAACTAGGGGAGAAACAATCTTTCGGCCGGCCTGCTAATCAAATTATCAACAAGTTTTTCTAATATTACAAAAAAACAAAAAAAAATATATAGAAACATACACATATATATATATATATATATATATATATATATATATATATATATATAAATATATATTTATATACATATTTATATACATATATATGTATATACATATATGTATATATATATATTCATATATGTATAAGAAAAACAACAACCAAACACGCAACTTAATATTTAAGTGGTTCCAGGGATAGGGTGCTGGATTGATGGGGTGCTAGCTTTTGCGGATGTATCCAAGCTGAGTTTGGTGGAGTGTCTGTGTGGTTGTGGTTATGGGTGTGTAGGTTATTATTGTGATTGTGGGTGGGGCGCACACAGGATAAGTAGTAGTAAAATGCTTAGACGTATAAATATGCTCTCCTAATTTGTAATAATCACATTAACTGTCGCTGCCTTTGTCATCTTCGATAATGCTATATTTATCGCCAATGACAATGCTATCCTTGTCGTTATCCTTAACGTTATCGTTATAGTTAACGCTAACGTTAACGCTAAAGCAACTGCTATCGATATTGTTATAGCTGTTCGTATTGTATTGAATTAGGGAGCATGCGGACTACATGTGATGCCACTGCGTAACCGCCACATTCGCATGCTCATTAAGACGGGCGATCTCCTCGTGCAGATTGTGTCCCAGCCACTGTAGAAAGATGCGATCGTAGGCAGCCTTGCAGAGCCTGAGCGGATTGCCGCGTCTCAGCCCCTGATCCGTTTCGCCGTACTCATCCAAATAGGGCGGCTGCACAAAACATCCCTTGCCACGGCCCAGGTATACCACCTGGCAGTCGCGTATGCGCAAAAATATGCCCACCTCGGCGCCGCAATCGTGCGCGTGATGCGTACAGGCGCCCACCGCCGTCTTGCCCAGCTCCGGCTGGCAGCAGTACGACTGACCGCACAGTATGGTGCCGCATATTAAGCACATGGTCGGCGTTTTCATCTCCTCGCGCTCGTTGTTGGGACAGAATATGTCGGAGACGCTGTTGATAAGATCGCTGTAATCTTCGTAAAGCGTCACCAGACGCGGCAACGGCCGTTGACATGGCACTATCGATATCGTATTCGATTGCGCCTGCGATGAGCCGGGCGTCGCCTGTTTGATGGCGCAGCGCTCGTTGAGCTCGCGCCTAATGTGGGGATGCGAGGCGAAGCTCTGCATTATGGGAGCGTACACCGATTCCATGTCAAAATACACGCCCAGCTGAGGATCCAAGCCCAGGTACTGGCACATCAAGCCGAAACGATCAGGCTGGTCAGTGGGAAACGAATCAGGAAAATCGATATCGGTAATGCAGCGATAGAAGAGACAGGAACTACGCAGGAATGAGCTCATCTGGCGGCGCACATACTCCAGCAACTGAGCCAGACACTTAACTGGCTCGTCCAATAGCGCGCTCACTCCCATCTCCATATCCATTTCCTCATACTCTTCTCTCGGCTGGCCATTCCGCTCGAACTGGCGAACGCCGAACGCCAAATTGTGCTTAACATAGAAACTGGCCATGTTGTGCCTGATCTTCGTCGGCAGCTGCTCCACGTACTGCAACATCGCTGTCAACTGCTTCTCCTTATCCTCATCCGAGCGAGAGGCCACTTCTGCCTCGTAGTCAAAGCAAATAATCGCCTTCGTTATATTGGCCAGGAAACACGTCTGCAGTATGTAAAAGTCAAACATGCTGCCGCTGGGCAACATTGTCTTGTTCTCTGTAAATAGAAATTGATTGCATATAGTGCCGTGCACTATAAATGTGTGTGTGTGTGAGTAAGAGTAAGAGTGTGTGTGTGTGGGTATGTGTGTGGTAGCTATATAAGGTAGTATGTCATCCTGAACGGCGCCCTTAAGAAAAATCGCAAATCCAATAAAATCGTTATCAATTTATCCGAATAAGTTTAAATGCAATTAAGCTTAGATAGATTGCTCACATAGATGACTTAATTTATTTTGTTGATTTAAAATTAACAAACTAACTAATTGGTAAGACTTTGAAAGCTGAATTTTTTGTACAAGATTCAGGGATTCTGTTGCTGGAAACTTTTTTGTGCAAAAGCCATTCATTGGGTAAAATATGGTTGTCATGGGCAAAGTGTGGCACTTTTTGGCAAACCCACCCACAAGATATGTATGCAAATATTCTGTCTCTATCCGATCAGGCTTCAAACTCATTTTCATTTATCTATTCAGGGATTACTTTGGAGACATATTAAGGAGCTGTTTGGAAAATACACGCTCTGTGTTGCTCGGATGGCGATCAAAGATCAGATGGACAAAACCCACTAATTGCTCACAAGAAAATTGTAGTTACATTGATAATAAAGAAATCAATCAATCGATTGCACAGCTTTAACTAAATTAAGTTGCAAGAACAAGAAATAACTGCAATATATCCTAGGTCGAGCTAGTTGGAACTGACTTAGCGAACACATTGGGTACTTGACATGTGCATGCCAAATGTAGGTTAAATATGCATATCTAAGGGTGTGAATGATTTAAATCAACTCGAGCTGTTGGTGCTGATGACCGAGAACATGTACTTCAGGGTGACGGATGATGTCTGCTTTAGCATATAAATTGAATGCCCCTCATTGGCCAAGTGATAAGCCTGTAAGTACTTACCATCGGCGGCGACAAGATTGGGCACATTAAAGTTGAGCTGTACCAGCATTCGGAAGCAGTCCCATTCCAGGACGCTGGGGCCCTTCTGATTGAATATGGTCTCGCACAGCTTGGCACCATGCACGCTTTGCTTGGTGATCTGCGGCTCTTTCAGACTAACTGAGTAGAGGGCGCAGGCACGCACCAAATTGCTAACGCAGCTTTGATGCCGCATGGGCAATTCGGCCTTCAGGGGCTTCTGTATGGCATATAGATAGACCTCTAGTGACTGCAGCGTGTAGTAGCA